TTTCAATCTGTGTTTTATTACCTCGCCAGAAATCTTTAAATTGTTGTTTTTAAAAATATGTCAACAAAAATTTGTTAGGATCTTACTTTAGCCCATTCATTTTTGAGGCACTATATCACATTATGGTAAAAGATCCTTTTTTATATTAAAAAGAGTTTCTGAGATGATCAGTGCTGATACTAAGTTCATGAAAGAAGTAGTATAGGATATTACAGTATTTGTTTACTGGTTAGTAAAATGTTAGAATGAAAATAGCAAAAACGCTGTATTTCACGTAATGTTAGTATTAGTGTTAGTATTCAGGTAGTGCTAGTATTGGACAAGACAATCACTGGACTAAAACCAACTGAAACCTCCCGATTCTGTTGAAGCGTGTGTGCTGAGTTCATCACAGTAGTACTCAAGTGCTTAAGTTGTGATGAGATGGTTTGTTCCTGAAAAATGTCTTTGTAATAAGTAAGGCAAAAATAACTTATTTGCTTTTTTCTCTTCGGTGGTTGCATCTGACGGGAAGCCTACTTGCTGCTAAAATTCTGTGGGAGAAGAATTACATAAGAAGATATTTATTTTTAATTGCAGTTGTCACATTAATCTGCAGTGTTACTCACCAAGCAAAAAATTATTAGATAATGTGTGTATAAAAAGTAGAAAAAGCCTTTTGAATTTCTCAAGATGTTGTATTTAATTTCTTTTCAGAATTGCCAGGATGTAACTTCTGGCTTTAATATTGATGGAATTTAGAAATTTCTTCTTGGTTTTGCATATGTACTTACATAATGTGTTGCCGTTTGTTCCCCCCCCCCCCCCGCTTCCATCTTTTTTTCTCAGACCTGCCTAGTCAACCTTTCCACTTTTATAAGGAAGTTGTTACTTCTCTCCAAGGATGAGCCCGTTGAAAGTATACACAACTTCAATGCATGGATAATACTGTTGTCCTTTGACAAAAATAGCCAATTCAAGATTGATTTACATAAAGTTATAATCAGTGCTTTAAAAGAGAAAAGCCATAAACCTCAGAATGAATTTTCTATTTGTCATTCTAATAGCACTGTGTGCAGCGTGTTTGGAAGTGTATGCTTGCAATTGTTACATAGGAAAGATCTGGACAGTCAAATTGAATGCAAGGTCTGATGTAAATTAGTAAACACATGAGAACAAAAACTATATAAGGATTAAGATCTTCTCTTTCCAGTTTAGACTTCTGTTATTTTTTTAATACCATGCTGCTTGTGTGGTGAAGTGTTCCCACTTCTGAAGACCTTCTATGGATTGCTTATGATAAATGGCTTTTCTTTTTTCATGCTCTGAACTACTGTGGTCTTCCAGAAGCAAGTGAGAATTTATGATTTGCCAAATGCTTGGCAGAAGCAGGATAAAAGCCTTCTACTTCTCATGGAGAAGGCCAGGTGCCAAATACAGTGAAACTGCCTCGGCTGTTTAGGTATTTGCTGAGCTTTCATCACTGTAACAGCTGAGTGTCCCTTCTTTTGAACAGAAATGGAGCATGTAGTAAACACTCTTACTTAGTTCTGTAGAAAATGCAGGAATTACTTTTTTCCTTCTACCTATGTAAGCTGTATCTTTTCCTGTTAGTCTTCATTTTCTTGTTTGTTACTATAGGGAAGTTAGTTTAAGGATGCTGGTGTTGAGTTTTCTCTTGAAGGAAATAGTTGTACTTAGCCCTTCTAGAGCATTCTGTTCTAAATATCAGCTACTGCCGAGCAAATTGCCCTCTGCTCCAGTGAGCTTACTTCTCAGGGTTTGCTTTTGATTGTTCCTGCAGAGTATGTTTTCTTGTGGTCTTGGTCCCTTAGCTAGAGGTGTGTTTTTTAGACCGTTTGGAAGAGGACGATAGAAAGGCTTATAGTTGAAAGCCACCCTGAAATAACTGTGGTTAGTGCAGCACGTGGAACACCAGTAGAATTCAGTGGTACAATGGTGGATCATCATTGGAGTATAGCAATTTGTGGTAACCCCACAAAAGAGGTTGATCAACGTGGCCAAACCATTGCACTTCAGTAGAGAGAGAGTCTTTGTACAGCTAGATAAAAGAAAATGTTCTGGAGTAGCTTTTGCTGTCTGGAGCACCCAGTTAGGTATCGAGGTGCTGACAGAAAGCTTAAATTGTAGCTTTGAGCAGCTTTAAGTGGTTTGGATTAGCTAGCCTAGCAAATACTAGCAGTGGAAAGGCAGCAGTGTTGAAGATCAGCTTTGTGATTTCCAGCAGTGTCCTCAGCCTCGCTCACCTCTGGGATTGCTGCCCGAAGCCTGCTCCTGCTTTCAGCTGCCTGATGCTGAGGATGCTTCAGCCGGAGTAGGAACAGAGAACCTGGTGCTGTATTTGTGTCCCAGCAAAGCTACCTGCACCGGCTCCAGGGCTTTGTTTCAGTAACTGCAGCTGTACCAGCTGTCTTGGGTTATTGGAGCTCAGTTCTGGAGTTTCTTTACGCAGAGGGGGCTCTTTGCGTGGCCTTGCTGCTGAACACAGTGAAACTTGAAAGCTTTCCCTTGCCTCTTTCCAATTTTAAGGATTTTGTGCATTAACTGTATCTGTCCAACAGAGAACTGAAGGTATGTGGGTTCTCGCGTTGACTGCAGCGTAGTGAGGAGCACCGGGAGAAGTGGAAAGAATCGGCTGTTTCTTAATTCTTCAACAGAGGCTGAAGAATTTGAAAGCTGATGGTGTAATCTGAGGGAGTTGCTTGCTAGTTTGTTAAAAATTGGATAGAATCTGGAGTTTCTGACAGAAGTATAAGATGAAATAGCAGATATAATGCTGAAATTATATAGTGCACCTTGAAATGACAGTAGTTCCTGGAAATTAAACAGTTTTTCTTTGTCTTTTACGGTCAGGATGTAGCATAAAAACTGCATCAGTTTTTGATAATGGCTGAAAGGCAGGCAGAGAAAGCTATGTTGGGAATATATTTTTTAAATGGATAAAAAACACAGTGTAAACTCCGAATAATTTATGGGCAAACTAGAGTGAAACTACTACTCATAATTAAACACAGATTTGCTATCATTTGGTCATCTTGTATGAATGAGTGCTGGTATTTTTCATGATGCCAGAAAACGGTTGTGTTAAAATGGTAACCTTCACAGTGTGAGTTGGGGACTGACCGTGGCAGCTAGGATGAGACAGTAATTGGCGTTACTGCAGACATTAATATTTTCCCTGATAGAGTAGTTCAACCATAGAATACTTTTCCTAGGCTTTTGAATGTAAATTTCACAATTGAAGGCAAAAGAAGGACAGATGTTTAAAAGGCAGAGCAAAAAAGCTTTGTCTTTTTCAGGGATGTAGCAGGAGGACTTCTGAAGTGTCTATGTGGCTGCTCCTTTGAAATTATGAAGGAGGATCTAGGGCATGGATAGTGGGGGGAGTTTTATTTTCCTATTCTCTTAGCTAACTTTTAAAATTAAAAAAAAAAATAAATGGTGCAATTCATTAGTAATTAGCATCTTTAAAGTTCCTCCCTCAAACCTGCAGAGTATACGAATAATGTTCCAGATTTGGCAGCAATACTTTAAGAATATTTTTCACTTGCAAAGCTGGTCTGTATTGCAACTGAAGTATTTGGTTTACTTGTGCTGTTGGTGTTACCCCTGGTTGGCTAGTTCATACAGCTCCAGTCTCGGGGAGTGCAGCTGGGCAGCGTTTCCATCTGTCAGTAGTATGGATGCTACTAGTCGTACTCTTCTGGCCCTTCCCATGATTTCATCTGGCTGTACTTTTTTTTTTTTTTCCCCCCCGTTTCCTGTGCCTACAGCATGGAAATAGCTTACCAGTTTATGTAGTCTCTTTTGGAGGGAAAATTCCCATTCTGGTGAAATTTGAGGGGTTACAGTCTGCATTTCTCTAGCTCTGCCACGAAGTTGTGTTTTATTTCCTTTGAGGATTAGGATCAGGAAGTTGTTTCCCTGTGTCACTGGCTGGCTGCGAGTCCTCCCAGAAGGTCAAGTCGGATAGTTTGGTACAGGATGTTCTTCTGAGTTGGATGTGTGCCTTCCTACCTTGGAGCTACCAATTACTCATGCCTGTTGGCTTGCAGTGGCCTGGCCATACTGATTAGTGTCATTATAATTTGCTGTGGGTGTTTTTGTGGAAGCTTAATTTGAACTGCAGCTTCTATACCATTGTAAACTCTTTTTTTTTTTTTTTTTTTGTTATCGAATAAATACCTACTTGAGTGTTTTGTGTTAATTATGACTGCTTCTTGTTGTTCTCTGTAGTCTCATAGTATTGAATTCATTTATTTGTGGTTGAAGTACTGTGCTTGTACATCAAGGCGCTTGTTTCTAGACAAGGGATTAATTTCTTTCATCTTTCACTTTTGCTTTCAGTCCAAAAGAGATTTTTTGGCCACGTTTCATAAAATTGTTGCCACTTTATGAAGTATGAGATAATAGAAATTGTCTTATGTTCTTAAGGAAGCTTTTAAAATGTTTGTGCTTTATGTGAAAGGACTTGAGATAGTTATAAATGTACATTTTCTGTGTGCTACCCTTTAAAACAACCAGTATATCCAGTTAAAAACTCTACTGAACAGGTATCTTTCCAATATGTGTATGCAAGAATATAGGCTTTCTTAAAATAATTTTAATTTTCCTAAAACCTTCTAGGTTTTTTAGTTGATTTATTTTCTTTCCGATATAATTACTTGCCTTGTTATTCTTGTTTCTGAAGTTCAAACTCCTCGTAATTTCTGTTAAAGCTTTTTACTTTTTGGCCTCTTTCTGCATTTGTGCTATAACTTCACGCTGCATATGCTGTCATTTAGCAACCTCTTTCATAAAGGTTCCTTTTCATTCTGTGCACTGGTATGTGTTTAGTTGTTTTACTAAGAAGATAGGTTTGAAATAGTGTTACCAACCTTTTTCCTATTCTACCCTCTTGCAAAAAAAAAATATTTAAGAGATATTAGCAAATAAACCCATGGTGAACTAAATTTTTTATGGAACATTTTTCTTTTTTTATTTTTTTCTTTTAGTTCCCGGAATAGATGGCGGTGGGTTAGCTGATGCTAGCCTCACAGATTCCTACTTTAGCACCAGCTTCATTGGCGTTAATGGATTTGGAAATCCCGCTGAAACAAAGTATCCCATGATGCAGGTAATAGCAGTGAATTGTATAGTGGTTCATTAGTTTTGACTGGTGTTACACCAAGAAGGGAAAACTGTTCAAGAGGCAGGAAAAATGGAGCCTTCTGATTTGTGTCATCTTGTAGTGTAGACATAGTGTATATACTTACTTAATTCCTGCAAATAGAAATGAAACAATATAATTGCGTTAAAATTAGTCTGTTTTTATTGGTACTCATCTGAGCTGTTACACTGGGCTTTGCCACATATATTAGCTGTGTTTCTAGATTTCGTTTTAGGCTTATAGCTAATTTTGATAGCCTTTTACTAAATATATGAAAATTAGATTTTGAAACATTTCAAAGATAAAAGTCACTGAAGCAAAGTGTGAACTGTCAAACCTGTAAATTATGAGGCAAAAAATTCAGAATTTGTAAACTCAATCTCTGGTGGCACTTAGTGATCTTGAATTCACATTTAAATTTTCTGAAATGTTTTTTTGTATTTATAGTGTTCTGTAGGCATAGAACTTCCATGATGTGGAATTTACTGTGTAGGTAGTATTATGCAAAATTTACAGCAAAAGGCTGTCAGATTTTAAACCTAAATGAGTATCTATTTAATTAACACATGAAGTACTATAATAACTCCCTCAAACTGTTATGCTTTTTAAAAGCTGAAAAGAAGATGATCTCTCCCTGTACTCAAAGGTTTAACAAACCAGTTTCTGGTAAATGAAAGAGCCCAAGTCAAACAGTTCGCACTGAGTCCTGACAACAACTCTCTTCTTTTATATCAAGGAAACTCTCCTTATGAGCTTACTTTGATCTCAATTGTGGCTGTATTATGGATTGAAAAATAACTCAGCAAAAGGTGGGAAATAATTAGGTGTGTTCACTTTTTTCTTTTTTTTTTTTCCCCTGCATGTTTTCAAGAAGGCTGGATTTTCTCATTCAACAGAATTGCAAAACTATGGAAATGTTTATTACTCACGGTGATGCATGATTTAAAAAGAAAAATTTTAACCTCTGATCCCAAAGTGTACTATTAAAGCTGGAAGTTTGAAGATTATTGCTTTATAATGTGTACGGTTACTAGTTTTGGTATCACTGAGATAATATAATTTTGTCCTTTCAGTGCAAAGTCATGTTTTGTGTCCTTAAACAGTATTCTGCAGCAACACTGGTGTCTTTCTAAACACAAATTTTTAGTTACAACTGTTTCTTCTAGAAAGACAATAAGGCATGCATCTAACATGAATGCTCATAGGATTGTTAAATACTTTACTAATGCCTATGAGATTACAGTCAAGACACTGTTTCCCTTTGACCAAAGAGAAGAGATTGATGTGCCTCTTACCCATTGGAGGCTAAGGAAAATTACTTCTGAAGAAGGCTTTCGTTAGTGTTGAGTAAGTGCTTACAGGCATTAAACTATCTTATATTGTTTTTTTTCCCTTTGAATCATGAAACTTAAGTTGTTTGCATAGGTAAAGCTGGTAATACTGTCTGTTTTGATTGTGTGTCCATACTGACAAAGTTTAGCCATTTGAAATAAGGTTTCCCATGTCTATCAGCTCTTTGGAGAACAAGGCAAGGGAAAAATCCTAGTGACTTTTGCTTTAAATAATACTAATGCTTTACGATTTGGAACAGAGAATTTAAATCTGATAGATTGGTGGTTGTGTCAAGGATATACCTTTTGTCTGTTTATGAAAATTTGCCCAGATTTTGTCACTTGATTAAACCTTTGCAAAACTGGTTTACATAGACCCACTGAAGACTTCCCAGATGTCAGATAATTTCCCAAAGATGTAGTCTGCATTGGCATGTTCCAGCTTGAGTACATTCTTGCAGTTACAGCTCTGGCCTAATCTAGGCCT